TTCTGCACAGCTAACACCCAACAGTGGGCGGTCCCTCCCTGAGCTGGCAAGCCTCCCAGAGCTGGTGCTGTCCGGGCGCCATGGGGCAGGGGGTGGGCAGTGGCTGACGGCCTTGACCTGGCAAATGCACAGACGTGGGCTCGGTCCCAGCCCCACCACTGCTGGCTGTGTGACTGCCCTCTCGGAGCTTCTGCTCCCCTCATCTGTAGGGAGGGTTCTCGTGGCCTCTGCCTGTGGATGCTGGGGGACACCCCGCAGAGATCCCCCCAGCGCCCCATCTCGCTTCAGGGACGCGGTCTGCCTAGACAGGCTTGGCCCAGCGCCGGCGCTCAGTCACTGTGAGCGAGAAAGGGGTCTGCTAACGGGGCACGTTCCCCGCGGAGCCCGGCTGCGCATGGCTCCTCTTCACAGGAAAACCGTGTGAGAAGCGAGTCCAAAACCCCAACGTGAGCCGCCGAGAAACGTGCTTCTCAGCAAGTCGGGGAGGGCCGGGGGCCGACGGAAACATCTGGCCGGTGAACTAACGGCTCCGAGAAAAGGAGCCTCGCCTGGCGGGGCGGGAGACGCGATCCGCTGCTGGTTCTAATTTAGGATGAAAAAAAGCCGAGTCTCTTGGCCTCAATATTGCTCTTATGTCCAGTTGCGCGGAGTTTGGAATAATATTTTTCAAGCAGAACTACTGCTATTTCGGTAATTGCGATGCTAAAAGCAGCCATTTGGGGTGGAGCGAGCATCTCACCGCGGTCTGAGTCCCGCTGGTGTCACTTTCTGTTACGTTTGAGAAATTCCTCAATAAAGATGTCAAACAGAGAGAGGGTTTTGTTCCCCAGGGGACAGACTTGGCCACTCTCCAGGGCACGGTCCCAGGCAAGCCATCTCCACGAGAAAATAACCCTCCGCTCCAAAGGAAAGAAGAGGTTCAACTGTGAAAGCTCTGGCAAGAACACAGCCCGGCCGCCGGCCTTGCTTCTCCTAATTAACTCGGAATGTTCGCAGCCTCCGGCCAGCGTTCACCGGCCTCGGCCTCAGGAATCCGGCGCTGGCCGGGAGGAATGTTACACCCAGACGAGGCTCTTGACCCAGACTTCTGGGGACAGAACAGGAGACGCAGAGCCGCCCAGCTGGCCCCGATGGGGGAGGGCTTGTGAAGGGGGCCCGGGGGACTGACCAGAGACGGTCAGGCTGCGCAAGGCAGCCAGGACTTCCCAACATGCGGCCTCTCGCAGCCCCCAACACCCACCGGGGTTCCCCCTCTGCCCGTCCTGTGGCTGCCGCTCTCCCCGTGGAGTCAGAAGTCCCCAGAGGGTCATGTGCACCTGGAACCCCTATCTGCCCTTCCAGATCACAGAGACCCTACAGCCCCCTGTCCGAATGGCCCTGCCTGTCTCTCTGAGAGACAGATGACACTTAGGACCCCGCAGTAGCAAAAGGGAGGGGTGGGCTGGGGGCCAGGAGCCAGAGTTTGGCTCAGACGGTGTGTGCCAGGCCCCCGTGGGTGGGAGAAAGCCAGGGGCGAGGAGGAGGGGGACTGGCACACCTCCACTTTCTGACACAAACTACAAGGAGACCTGAACTCTCAATTCCAGTCCAGCCTCCCAAGGCACGAGGTAGGAATACTTGTCAAGGGTGAACAGACTGAACACATTCTGGTTCTGAAGCCTCGTAATGACTTTTACATATTTAGCCGCACGGGACACGGGCCTCCATTGTGCTCCTGCCAAGCCCCGTAAGCGCGGGGCTGGGGGCTGGCCAAGCAGGAAGCACGCTGGAATACCGGGTTTATGTTATGGCCTCGGTGCTCTCAGGCTGGCAAACCCTCCCCTGATGGTGACGATGATGAATGCTGTGGGGACAGAGCAGGGGGCAGGCGGCTGAGGGCTGTGGCCGCCGGCCTGCGCCTTCGGCACCGACAGGACACCACCCAGCGCTGGGGCGGCCCTCCCAGTCGCACACAGCCGCAGCCACCCCCAAGGTCGCTCACAGTGACCTCAGACACAGGCATTGCCGACCCTCGGAGGGTGTGACTAACCGGTCCTAAACCATGAGCTTGCGTGGTGGTGCGGGGTGCGAGGCGACACCCTCACGCTGCAAGCCCACTCCGGACTCACTATTTGTTCCTGCCACTCTTCACCGAGCCTCACGGCCCCGACACTGACCCCATACTTCACTGTGCTTCACGGACCGGGGCGCTGAAGGGGACCCCCTTCCGAGAGGGCCTGTGGCCAGTGCGGTTCGGGGCTGCTGGTACCAGGATCCGACTCCTCTAGAGCGGGGCTGTGTCTGGAGAAGGAAAAGCCCGAAGGGTCCGCTGGGCAGGGCCTGCCCTGGGCTGACAGCAGAGGGGAGAGAACCTTCTTCACTGCCCCGTGTGCAAGCGGGCCTGCCTCAGCCGGGAGCCCAGGGGAGGGCGCTGCGGCCAGAGGGCCCAGGGCGCAGGCCAGGCCTGGGCTGCGGGTGGCCGGCTCGAGCCCCGCCGGGTCTGAGCGGCAGGAGATGGCCCACCTCGTTCACCTCCCCGAGGGCCGGTGGCCAGACACCGCTTCGCCAGCGCGCCAGGTGCGCTCTGCTCGGTGCCCCACAGCCACGATCGCGTTCCATCCGCGCAGGGCCCTGACCCCAGGGACTTCGAATCCCACTTCACAGGGGAAACTGAGGCACGGGGGAACGTGACTGGCCAAAGGTCACATGGCTGAGAGCCTGGCAGGGCCGGACTGGAGCCCAGAACTGACAGCTCCCGCGCTCCGTCCTGGCCACCGGAGGAGTGGGAGGGCGGGTGTCCCATCCACTGTGCACAGCCCCGCCGGCTCCGCCCTCGCAGGCTAATCGGCTACAGAAATGTGCTCTTTCCGTCCCCTGAGGAAGGGCAGGCTGGTAGAGCGAAGGCTCATGCATTGGGGGGCTCAGTAGATAGCATTTGGACGGTGATTAACTCGGCATCTGGCACAGTGAATGCTGTGCAGCCCGCTCTTTACAATCTAATCAAAGGCTCTGCACTTCCGCAGCCCACCTCCCCTGGCTCCTGCCACCCACCCTGAGCCTGGCCTCAGAGCCACCCGCCGCTTGCCACACGGGCTGTGCCATGCAGCCTCCTCTGTAAAGCCTCCGCCCTCCCCAAGGGGTCAGCCCTCCCTCCGGTTGGGGCGGGGACCAGGCCCTCAGGGGAAGCGTAGTTGCAGGGTAGTCTCCCCAGGCTCCTCTGGGCTTCAGCATCTGCCGTCCAGGCGCCCATTTCCGAGCTCACTGTGGGTGCAATTACCTGGTCACAGATCTTTTTCCCGTAACAGGCCCATCCGAGAGCCAACGGGCACTAAACAGAAACAGGCCGCGCATCTCAGGGGGACACACCGAGAAGAGAAAAGGTCCAGAGCATGTGGGACTGCGCGGCCCCTGTGCCACCCACCAGCACACCAGCTGGCACGGGGGCGGGGGTGCCGAGTGCTTCAGGAAGCGCTGCAGCGAAAGCCATAAAGAACCCAAATGCCCCTCGGCCCCGCAGTTCCGCCTCTGGGAAGGACTGCGGAGGCCACAACTAGGAAAACGAGACGGGAAGGCTTGTGCCCAGAATCACTGCTCGATTCTCGTGGCTAAAAGCAAACAAACAAGATAAGCACAGCCTAAACGTCCAACCACAAAGGCCGGCTGGTCTCTGAGAGCAGCGGCTGCCACTGGTGGTCCCTGAGGTCCGAAAGGCTGGCGAGCGCTGACCCAGAGTAATGCCTGTCTGTTGACTGTTTGCACCTTCTGAGTGCCGGCCACCTCACCCTCACAGCGGGCGAAGCAGGCAGCAGGACTGCCCCGTTCACCGCTGGGACTCTCAGGTTCAGAGGCCGGGATGACAGGAACAGACGCTGAGTGGCACGCACGCTTCTCAGCTGCCCAACATGATGTGTTGCTGCTCACGGCAGCTGCAGGTGGCTGCTCTCCACACCTCCCTCCGCCAACGAGGGACAGAGCCAGGGACATCAGTCACTACTCGCAGCCACACTCCTGCCAAGTCCATGGCTCTCACCCCGGGCTCCCGCCCTCCTGCCCAGGGTCACTCAGCAGCCAGGTGCTTAGGGGACAGTGTGACCTGCAAGCGAAGGAACACCGGAGGCTGCTAGAAGCTGGAGAGGAGCCAGAACAGATTCTCCCTGGAAGCCCTGGGAGGAACCAACCCGCTGAACCTTCTCAGCAACCTTGGCTTCACAGACAAGGAGGCAGCTGGGAAAATGGCAGTAATAGGGCAGCCAGGTCAACATACCTGCGTGAGGCTCATGTGATGTTCAAGGGAGAATTAAGGGACAAAGACCATGCTGACCACTGATTACTACGGTGAAATCACACCTGGAAGCAGGGAGGAGCCTGAGGGGAAACACACCAGCGTAACTGAGACGCGTCCTAATTTTTTTGTTCCTGTTCTCCATGTTTCCCATTTTATCCAGCAAGCTGCCATTACTCTGATAAACGTTATAAACTGGCTTATAATGTCCACTTGAACCAGGAGACTCTGGAGGTACAGCAGAATCCTTGTTATGGGGTCAACTGGACTCCCCCAGACCTCCAGCACCTCTTCTGTTGAAGCCCTGACCTCCAGCACCTCAGCATGTGACTGCGTTTAAGACACGGCCTTTTCAGGGGGAATTAAATTGGAAATCGGTTGGGATGGGCCCTGCTCCATCCAGTTAAGACTGAAGTCCTCTAGGAAGAGGAGATTCGAACACACAGAGAAAGACATCAAGTACATGGATGCACGAATGACCATGTGAACACCCGGCTGGGAGGTGGCCGTCTGCAAGCTGAGCCGAGAGGCCTCAGAAAAAAAGCAAAAGAGCCAAACCTTGACTTTGGACGTCCAGCCTCCAGAACAGCGAGAAAAGAAATTCCCACCGTGTAATCTCCCCAATGTTATCACGGCAGCTCCGGTAAATTTAATCTAAAGGACCGAAGGAGAGCCAGCCCTCCCCCGGCGCCCCACACGGCAGGTGTGCCCGGCGGGCAGGGCATGGCCCGGCACTCACCCAGGCAGTTGTGTCCGTCATGTGCCAGCGTGAAGCCGTCGAAGCAGGTGCACCTGTAGTTCCCCGGGATGTTGATGCACTCGTGGACGCAGCCCCCGTTGTAGGCGTCGATCTCACACTCGTCGATGTCTGCAAAATGAGGGCATTGAGGGGTCAGAGGAAGAGCCTGGGTCTCCCCCCCCCCCCCCCTCCACTGCCGAAGGCACCTGGGCATGACAAGCTAGGGCAGTGGTTCTCAACCTTCCTAATGCCGAGACCCTCTAATCCAGCTCCCCATGTGGTGGTGACCCCCAACCATAACATTATTCTCGTTGCCACTTCATAGCTGTCATGTTGCGACTGTTATGAATCGTAACGTAAATATCTGTGTTTTCCGATGGTCTTAGGCGACCCACAGGTTGAGAGCCACTGCTGTAGAGCCTAAACCCACTGGATCGCAGCATCAGAAAGGTTGAGAACCTCGGAGCGAGGGGATGACTCAACAGTAATTCACCAGAACTCTTGGGGGGGCTGGGACCCAGAGATCACTAAGGCGAAGATCCTGGCTCTGTACCAAGGCTGGCCACACCTTGCAGAGCTGGGCCGTGTGCCAGACCTTCCGGCTCCCACCACACGGCAGCTGGCAAGTCACCCCCAGCTCCACCTCCTTCAAAAGCCTCAACACTAACAGCCTGTGGGGACCCTGTGTGGGCCCTGGGTCACCTCCGAACGGGATCTCTTCGCCCCTTTGAAGGCCTCCCACAGATGGAGCGCTCATGACTCATGCAGCAGGGGCATCAGATAAAAGGAACTTTGCATCCCGCCAGAACGTGTAACCCTGGGCGGAGTGACCGCAAGCCCGCACACTCCCTCCAAATAGTTTCCTTTCCCGTCAGCATCGGAATTACGAATTCCTACCGCCCCAGTCCTTGTTCTAACAAAGGCTCTGTCTCAGAAACAAAGGCCAATAGCCTTTGGAAGGGTCGCCCTTTTTGCTATTTTGTCTTTTTTTTTTTTTTTTTTTTTTAACATTTCCCGTCAGGGGCCAAGGGGCTATCAGTTCTGGCGTTCCAGAGAGACTGGGGAGACTGGGAGAGTGATCGGAGTGCCCGGTCGCCATACAGCGAGCGGACAACGCCATAGGGCACGGTCTCCTTCAGGCCCACGCGGACTCGGTGGCGCAGGCGCTCTCACCACTATTCCAACTGCGCAAGGCAGCGGGGAAACGGAGGCACGGAGGCCAACCCCCTGCCAAAGGTCACCCCCTTTCAGAGCAGTACCCGCGGGGTTCCAACCAGTGTGGCCCGGCCCGCAGCCCAGGCGGCCAAAATGGACGCGTCTCAACCGCCACGGGGAACCTGGAAACCAGAGGAGCGGGGATGGGGAAGGCGGAAGTGCCCTCACAGCAGAATCGGAAATGCGACACAGCGGGACGGAAGTGCCCCGCTAAGCAGGACCGGAAGTGCCCCGCTAAGCAGGACCGGAAGTGCCCCGCTAAGCAGGACCGGAAGTGCCCCGCTAAGCAGGACCGGAAGTGCCCCGCTAAGCAGGACCGGAAGTGCCCAGGTAAGCAGGACCGGAAGTGCCCAGCTAAGCAGGACCGGAAGTGCCTCGGGAGAGGCTACCGCCTGGGAAGAAACGGTCCGTCTCCTATGCAGTTGAAGAGGGGTCTTTGAGGTGGTTCAGCAATGGAAGCTGGGGTGGGGCCAGCCTGGGGAAGAGGGGGGACTAAGTAAATGCAAGCCTCGCTGCTCCTTCACATGCCTGAGGAGCTGGCGCAGGGAGACACCGGGCTCCACGCCATCCACATTGGTCCACCCAGTAAGGGTAGGCCAGGGGGTCAGTTCGCGTTCACAGGGAGGCAGGCCCTTCTGGACGGTAGAGGCTGTCTCAGGCGGGAGTGAGCTCTCTGGGGTGACCAGGACCTGTCACCAGCACCCCTGCCAGCCAGGAGCACCTGCGGGGCTCGCTTCAGTGAAAACAGCCTGAAAGCTCCTGCATCCGGTCTGGGCTGTGGGCCTGCTCCCGTGCCCACCCGCACAGGCGCCCGGGGGGGGGGGTGTTGGGGTGGGAGGGCGGACAGGTAGCCTGGGTTTTCCTAACCTGTCTGCAGTGGCCACAGCATCCGCTGGGAAGCAGACTCATTTGAATTGTTCTTAATCATATGTTTAATGCACTTAGACATTTTAAGTGACATTAAAGGAGGACATAAGGTTTTATGTTGGAAAAGACTGGGTTTATAAAGACCGAGATATTAATTATCCCCCGGTCTCTGAGCCTTGACCTCCACCGGGTGGGTTTCACCCAGGTCCACCGACCACTTCTCCCCGTGGACCTCCCCCAGACACTCCACAGCAGTGCGGCCGCCCTGAACCCGTCAGCTGGCACTTTCTGGGATACCCAGCCAGTGACTGTCCTTCTGCCTCTCTGCGGACATCCAGTCGACTGCCAAAGCATGGCTTTCCTGCACTATCAACATGGTTACCGCTGCCCACGGTCACCCATTTCCACTGCCATCTGATCAGAACCAAACGACTCCCTCCTTTCCTTCATTCCGGGAGGTGACTCTGCAGAGGGGGCTGGTCCCAGCTTTGAGAGTGGGGTTTCCTGGTGGCTTTCCTGGGGCACAGGGCTTAGGTTGGATGCGACAGGCTGAGGGAAAGGACTTGGATTTCGCCCTTGGGTCGAAGAATTCGTGTTCCTCCTTCCCTCTCTCCCTCCATCGTTGTATCTCAGAAGGAAGTGTGCAGGCATCGACCCCTGGAACATGCCAGCCCGTTCAGCAGCTCTGGAGTAGGCATCTTAGCTCCATGCTCCGGTTCAGACTGAAGTGCACAGAGGTTAGGTAATCGCTTCAGGTCACCAGTCAGTCAGTGGAAGGACAAAGGTCAGAACAGAGGCCTTCTGTCTACAAATCCCGCGTCCTTCCTAATAAGTCAGAGTGCCCACGGAATGCCAGGCTTTGGCAAAGTCCTTTGTTTGATCCTTGGCACATGTGCACTGTGTACCAAGAAAATATTACCCAATCATCCAAACACCCACTCGTCCACACAAACACACCTTTCGTCTCTTACCCAAATGGCCAGCCCTGTCCACCCATCCATTATCCATCCATATAATCACATATTGGCTACTCATTCAAGTAGCCACCCAGCCATCCTTCCACTTGTCTATTCATGCAGAATTTATCCATCTAAATATCCAGTCAGCTGACCATCCTCCTATTCATCCGATCACCTATTCTTCACCCATTTGTTTATCCAGGAGAGGAGGAAGTAATCGAGTAATAGAGGGGGGCAGAGCCAAGCTCTCTGGGTGTTAGTTCTTTTTAAAAAAAATCCTCACCTGAGGATACTTTTCCATTGACTTTTAGGGAGAGTGGAAACGGGGGGAGGGAGAGAGAGAAACATCATGTGAGAGAGACACAGGGATTGGCTGCCTCCCACATTGCTTGGGGTTGGAGCCTGCAACCGAGGTGCAGGCCTTTGACTGGGAATTGAACCCGGCCCCCGGCATCAGTCTGTGGGCCAGTGCTCTAACCACTTAGCAACCAGCTAGGGCTGGATGTTTCTTCTTAATGAACTGCTGTGGGTTGAACTGTGTCACCCCGAAAAAAGATGTGCTGATGTCCTGACCTCTGCTATCAGTGAGTGCAACCTGATTTGGAAATAGAATCTTTGTGGGTGTAATTAAGAGGAGATTGTATTGGAGTCGGGTGGGCCCTAATCCGATGACTGGTGTCCTTGTGAGAGGAGGGAAACTTGGGTACAGACACAGAGAGGATGTTGGGACAGAGGAGAGCATCACAGGGGAAGCCGAGGCAGGGGCGGGAGTGGAGAAGCTGCTGGGAAGCAGGTGTGAGCGCTGCCGCCGTTGACGAAGCAGAGACAGGGGCACAGCGTGGCGGAGCCCGTCGCCAGCCCGGAGCCGGCCGTGCTCCAGGGGAGCTGTGCTTGTCAGAGCCGCGTCCTCGGGGAGGCAAACCTTTAAACACACTCCAGGCTCCAAAGAGGCACAAGGTGGGAGGTGATGTCAGTCCTTGTCCTGGAGGGTGAGGGCTGGCGGCAGGGATGGTCCCACAAGCGGGCAGGCAGGGAGGACAAACCATCTGAATCTGCCCTGCGCTGAGGGCCGGAGTCCAGGCCTCCCCGCCCTCTCTCCGGTGGGATGTTTTATTAAATGAAAATACAATTCCCATCAGAAAACCTCTCCCGGCATCGGGCAGAGCAGAGGAACGCAGCAGGAACTCAGGCCACGGGGCCCGTCTCCTGTGCCGGACCCGCAGCCGCACCAGCTGCAGCCGCGTCCCGGGCCGGCCTCTCAGGGGGGCGCGTTCGGATTTTTCCACTTAATTCAAAATCACCTCCCACTGCCCCACAGGACAGCTGCTGCTCCGTGTGCCGAGACTCTAGAAAGATTCCACCGCAGTGAGTCAGAGCACCTCTCCTTTTACTTTAATGCTATTCCAGGGAATCCACCTGAGAATCAGGACTGACTGCAAAGCTTCTGGAACAAGGGCTTTTTAAAGATTGAAGTCCACCTGGTGTCCCACCTTGGCCAGCTTCAGGCGTGTGGTCGGGGACTCACTGCTTACGGGCGTTACAGTGCGAAAAGGAGGTTAGAGCCGCCCTCCCCTCTCCGGCCATGACCGCCAACGTCCTCTCCTCTCCCCTCGGCCCCGGCCTTTTCCTCCCGAAGCTCGCAGACGGTGGACCGAGCACTCTAACAAAGGCCCTCGGCCCCGGGCAGCCGTCTCGGCCTTTGTCTGGGGCTCGGGAGAACCGGGCTCCGCGGCCAGGCCCGCGGCCAGGCCCTCCGGAGAGGCTGGCGGAGGGAGGAAGCGGAGTCCTTGGTGAATGAGGCTAATGGGGTTGCGGCTGATGGTGCTTGCGGGAAGGGAGGGAGTCGGCAGAGCCGCCAGCAGGAAGGATTAGGCTCCCCCTCGGCTCCGGGTTAAGCTCCGGGGCTGTAATGACTGAGTAATGAGCCCCGCTCTCTGCGCAGCCCCGGCCTCCATCGATCAGGCTCCTTCTGCCGAGGCGGTGTCAGAAGTGGGCCCAGCAGTTAATTATGGGAAAGGTCAAAGGGCACGCAGAACCAACACACCTCCGTGCACTTCTCCATTCCCCACTTCACACGGTGGCCGAGGC